TGATGACAGTTTTTGGACAACAAAATGTAATAGTTCTTTCTTTGTTCATGTTACGTGATAATGTAAAAAAAAAATTCAACCCACAAATACAACTATGAATCTCGGCCTCTACACTGAAGAAAGTGTGACATATAAAACTAATAACGATAATAACAATAATCATAATAACTTATTAGTATCGTTCCTTTCAAAACCATTGTGAAGTAAATAAATCAAGATACATCATTTAAAAGCAATGACTGAAAACAATGAAGTAAAACTTTGTAAAATGTTATTTTGAGGGATGAATTAAATTCAGACGGTGATGTTTCAAGTTCCTCTTGCAAATGTGTCACAGTATTAATTATTATTTCAGGGCTCAATGAGACACTTGGTTAGAAAAGAGACCTTGTTAATGTGTTTTTCTCTTTACTGTCCTCAAACTGAATGTATTTCACAGCCACTGTCTGATGTCACATAAACATTCTATCCTGAATGAAGGATTTTCACAAACTAAATGTTTTGCTCTTTTCCACTTGATCACCTTCTGTCACTGGGTTTGATCAATATGAGGCAGATTTGGTTCATCATTCACTTCTGTTGTGTTTAATATCACTGGAAGGAAAAAGAAGCATTTGTTATTTAATGTGGAAGTTCAGAATATAAAGTTCATGTAGCCGTTAAGCTCTGAAGCATGTATCCTGATGTTTTTCTGATTTCCTCCACGCACAGACCTGCAGAGGGAGCTCAACAGTAATGCACAGAAAGGCTCTGGAGCTTCTGTTCTGCTCCAGTTCTCTGAGGAGCAGCAGACACTGTGGATCCAGCAGGCGACTGCTGCGTGCGTCTATAACAAACACATAGCGCAATCCGATGAGAGGAGCACTCACCACCATGTGATACCAACTCCTTCCACCAGTTTCCACCTCAAACCCATCAACCAAGTTTCCCAGGTGCAGCCTTCGAGCAGCCAGGTCACCTCTGATGTCTTCCAGCTGGCTCCTTTCAAAACACCTGGAAAAGAAAGCGGTGCGGCGTTCAGCGGCTCCTCCTCGTCTGCGTCCCATAAACCCACGGAGGCATCTGATGTTTTCCTCCAGGCACCGTTTGGAAAGAGGCAGGAAACCACAACAGCTAATGCTCAATTATTTAAGTCTGTTACGCATCACATTCAAAGTCACCTGGTCCCAGTAGCATCTGTCCCCGCTCCCCAGCCTCTCGGCCTCCGGGCCCCTCCTCAGGCTGTGCTCCAGCAGCCGGTGGCGGTGCACCGGGTCGTGTCCAGGATCGGTCAGCAGGCCGCCGTGGGCTCTGTGGCCGTGGGGCCTCTGCACTCCTGGACCATCGGGGGCAGAGCTCTGGACGACCCGTTTATTTCTGCACCTTTTCAGCCGAAATGCTCTCAAGGGAAACCTTGAGGATTTATAATCGTCTCTTAAAAATGCCAAGTCAGCTTTTTCTGCAATTAATGAAGGAACCAAAGTATAAGTCCGTCGCAGTGTTACACTTTGTCTAATGTAGTTTTATGATTATTGCTGCAGTATCAAACAGACTAAATGATCCCTTTAACAACCAAGTACTTAAAAGTTAATGCTCTACCTCAGTCACGTGCATCATTTCAGCACTTTACTAACAGTCGGAACTTAGACTGAGAAGTTAAACGACCTCCAGTGTATTGATCTCGTTCTAAATGTACTTACGCTGAAAACGCTTTAGGGAACCAAAAACGTTTTTGTAATTTTTTTTTCACTTATATTCCATTTTTTTATATTTAGTGTTTCTCAAGTGGTCCTACTTTATTTAAATCTTAAAAACGTATATTGAGGAAAAATATTCCCAGCATCAGAAAACATTGAAACCGAAGATATAAAGTTACTACTTTTAATTTTAGTTTTTCAGTTTTACAACTTTTATTTCTAATTTACATTTAGACCTTTACATTATCTATCTATCTGTTTCATAGCAGTGCTGGAATATGGTCCCACGCTTTACATTCAGCCTTTGCTGTTGTAACTTTCATGTAAGGGAATTCCAAATGTCTGGTCAGTTACCTAAATTACTTCAAACATAGTTGACCTGCTTTCAGAGGTTGTTGCTGCCGTTTCCCCACAAACTGTTTTAAGACTTTTGTGGTTGTTTTGAAATGAGTTTGTTCATTTTGTTTGTCTTTGGTTTTAATATTTTGAAGGAAACATATCATGTATGTGATAAATTCAATCAGACAGCACAGTGTGTAAGAAGTCATCATCTCTACCGAGCCAGGTTTTTATCAAGTTTACTCTTAAAGCGATTATATTTGACATTTTTCTTTATTATGCTTCATACAATGTGGCAGAGACTCCTGTAAAATACCTTACTGCCTTTATTAACAGCATTTTGTGCATGCATAGTATTTTTCAGTTGTATTTTTTGACTTTTGAAACTTGACATTTAGAAAATATCAGTGAAAATTAATCTTTATTAAAGTTTTATAAATTTAATTGCAGTCATTTGGTTGTAGTGTGTTTAAGGTAAATACTAGTTTCTTGTATTAATATCTGCTTCATTACCAACTTGTTTCACAGCAGGTGATCCAGACCTTTGTGGTTCTACCTAAGATGAGATATAATAATATTTAGCACGACAATAAGAGAACTGCAGGTTAAGATGGGTCCAAAATGACGCTAGTGGTTTGTTGGAGGACTTTATATTCTGAATCTGTGCAGTATGATGGCTGATGCATCACACTTTTGTATTTCTGTCTTTATAAAACAAGAGAAGAGAGGTTAAATGTATCGTCTTTCCATGGAAACTTTTGGTTTGCTTGTTTTTATTGAGACCAGATTGTTTTAGATTAAACCCCACGCAGAGGTAAAATGGAAAAACGGGATGATCCAAAAACACTAGACACGATAAACTTTGTCTGACTTGGTCGCTAATAAACCAACATTAAAACTCTCCTGTTACCGGTCCAACCTCTTCTTCAGGAGGAAAAGTAAATTGAATTTGTGTTAAAGATGAGGGGAAAGTGATAATATAAAGGAAAAGAAATAAACAAGGAAATGGATAAATGTGGAGGTTTTGGTTACCGCCCCCAAGGAGGTTATGTTTTCACCCCTGTGCTTTTTGTTTGTAGGCTGGTTTGTTTGTAACAACAGAGCCGATTCCCATGATATGTCATATCACATGACCAAAGGAAGAAGCCAGTCACTTTTCATAGAGATGCAGGGATTCTTTATGGCTTTCTATAACATTGTGTGATAGGAAGTTTTTTCATTTTCTCAGAGAATAATTCATGGAGCTGGATGTTCAGGAGACCGAGTTTTCTGTGTGTGCAAAGTTTTACCCTTTTATGTGGTGCAGGGTTATTTTTCCAATGTTACCCTGAACTGCATGGATTTTCCAGATGTTATGTAATGAAACACAGAGAAGCTGATGGATCTGATCAGGGAACATCAGGAAGCAGAGTTGATTTGATTCATATATCACTGATTAACACTATTACATACATTTATACATTATAATTTATTTAGAAAATAAGAAAAGACCTGTGCACACTGGTAGATGGACAGATGTAATAATCTATATGTTCATTATGCCACATGGTCTTCTGCAGTGTTGGTCTCTGTAAAAGTGTTAAACAGTGTAAATTCCTCTTCCAGATCTCCATGGCGTCACAGTTGGATTTTGATTTTATTGTCTGCCTATAACTCGACTGCCTGCCTCTGCTTCTGGCGCTTTTCTCAGACACGCCTTCATGAGCTCACTGGCCACAGGGCTGCAAGTCCAACTGTGTGCGTCTGCAAAAGCATTCTCTATCGGAGAAAGAAATGAGACTAAGTACAGCACATGGAAAAGATATATTTGGGTTTATTTTAGTAGATCCGAGTGGAATACAGCTCAGCTGACTTGATATTCCATGTTGCATAATCCGAAACTCTGAAAAAATTGTTTTTTATACAGAGAAGCTCTGTAGAGATCCCTCCCAAAATGGAAACCACAAAAGAACAAGTATTTTTGTAGAAAAGATAAATAAAAGTAAACAAACTCAATTTCTCCATCGTGCTAATGATTCATCTCTTTTCCGGCTGCTTGCATGTGCAGTATGAAGCTTTCCTGCAGTGCCAGCCAGGAAAACAGAGAAAACCATCCAAGATTTATTTTCTTCAAGAACAATTCTCCAGTTCTCTCACATCGGACGATTCCCAGAGCATCTTCCTGTGCCCAGTCATCTCCTAGAGACACTTGGGGCATCAACTGCAACTCACCTCCTCTTCTCCCAATGACAAAGAGGTAGAATCAGATACTCGGCAAAGAGACATCCTTTATCCACGTCCTCACTCATGTTGATAGATGAATGACAGAGAATTCGCCCATTTCTACCTTGAAGTGACTATAAGTCCACAAACGTTTCACTTCATACTGATAAACTTTATCATGTCTTTCCATAACCAGAGGCCGGATTTACGACAGGGTCTTCACATGCTGTGTCATCTTTGTTTGACATATGGTATAAGTTGTTTTTAGAGTTCAATGTCCTACACAAACACACACCCACAGATGTTCAGATGTTTTTCTGTCTGTCTTGCTGAGTAGTCTGAGGACGGGTGGAGCTATGCTGAGGATTACATGATGTCTCCGAACATTATGTCGTAGTAAAAGTCCCTCCCTCGTTACAGTTTGGTCACCTGGAATTATTCACCATATAGACCCTAAATATATTTCACAGAGGGACAGAGTGGGAGATGGTTTGACACACCCACAGAACATTGGAAAATGGCTATTATCAAACTAACGCTCAAGGAAGTGAAAAACTAAATGTAGATCTTCACAGTTAAGTTAAAGTTTCAAACTTTCCAGTCAGTGCTTTTATCGAATATCTGAATTCAGGCATTGCACTTCATGTTGATGTGAACAAATCTCAACGCAGACTCACAGGATTGTTGAACATTTTATTTCATTCTTATAAATCAATCAATAAAAATGACTAGTTAATAATGATAATTGTGTTTAGAGTGAAAGGTCTCTGTAGAAAGCTCGTCTGAGTTGTGCACTAAATCTTAATTATTTTAGTAAATATTTGTATTTACTTTCGTTATAGAAAATGCCAGCATCCATGAGCATCAGACATCAAATCTATATATATATATATATATAAACATAAAGTATTCATACATATATGGTCAATTTCGTGATTTAATTACAAGATTTACAGTTTTTAAGACAGCACGTATCAGAAAGCCTTGTCTGGAAATACACGGAGCAGTTGCTGTGTCACTGCGATTCTCCAATCCACATTTTTCAAGATGCAAAACGGTGAAACATCATTTTCGATAAATAAATCAAATTCATATCAGATAAAGGCTCGAATGCAAGTTTACACATCTTCGTAGCAAATTGTAATTCTGGACCAATTCAGCATCATTTGATTTGAGGAAGTTTTCTCAATCACTGGTTGCTTAGCGACAATAGCGTTTAATAGCCGAAGCTCTGCTTACCACATTAAATCTCCACTTTCTAGACTTAAAGAAAAGTCGTAGTTCATAGCACATAATGTGTGAGACACGTGCTGAGGAAAACAGATTGCTCACTGTACATCTGAATCAACATTAGAAACAGTCACTTCAATTCTTCCTCTGTCTGGACGTGTTAAAGCAGAGACACAGTGAAAAGGTCTGTTCAGTTTTCCAGCCTGAGCTCGCATCCTGCTCCTCTTCTCTTTCTCCATCATCAGTGGTTCTCCTGGTTGGGGCGTGGAGGAGGTCGTGATGGAGGAGGCGCTCTGCAAGGAGGAGGCCCTTGAGGTGGAGGTGGCAGGGAGCCAGTAGGGGACGGAGGTGCAGAGTCAGGGCCTGTGTTGCCAGGGGGAAGGGCTCTGTTCAGGGGCGGCGTGTACATGGGAGGGCTGGAGGAGGACGGGGGAGGAGTGGACGGCAGAGGCGGGAGTGTTGAAGTTGGCGAGGGGGGCAAATCGAAGAAGTGGCTGCCATCTGATGGACGACGCTGGTACGTGTGGGGCAAAGTGTAGACGGGCGTGGATGGATGGTTGTAGATGGGGTAGCGAGGAGCTGGGTAGGACTTGGTGCGGGTGAAGTTTATGCATTTGCCCTGTAATGAAGAAAAAGTGCTGATTGTTGAGGCTGGTTGTGTTTGTGGAGTTAGGCCTTCAGTGTGTATTCAATCAAAATGGCTTCAATCTACATCTCCTGGTAAAGGGACCGGCAGCGTCAGAGGAGCAAATCTTTTCAGCAGAAATTCTTCCGTTAGTTAAAGTGACCTGGAAGAAAAAGACATTCCTGCCAGCCGAGCCGAGCCGACGCTGAGACCTGCATCTACTCTTAATGACTTCTCCAGACAAGAGCATTCTTCCCTACACTACCGCGGTTGTTTTCACCTTTGTCTACTCACTACGCCACTTGACAGTTTCCATGAAGTCACTGTGTTTATGATACAAAGAAGATTTGAGTTTTTACGTGTTTACTCCGAGGAGTAACTGTCGTCAATGTCACACAGTTAAGATTTCTACTGCGTTCTTTGAAGCTCCTCACAAACTCCTCTCGTCCCTCATCGCTCATCGCTTCCAGAGGTCACAAATATAAACCTCTGGAAAATTCTTCAACATGTCTGCCAAAAGTTGACACAGTTGATCTTATTAATTGTTTTGTTTTGCATGAAACTTTCGTCACACTGCAAAAGGAATCTAAATTTCGTAATCTCTGGTTTTGTTGACGTGTCTCACCTTGTCTCCTGGATGAGGACGCATCACAGACACTCTGTCGTAGCCTCGTCTCAGGAATACACACAGAGCGTCCAGTTTGCCCTGAAAGACAAGCGTAGATTAAAAATAACATATAATACAAGTGATTTGAATTGACCTGCTGCTTGGACGGTCATATTAGACAAGCCGAACAATGAGGTATGAGTTAATCTGTTTATTTGTGTATCTGCTCCTGTTTTTCTGCTCCCGTTGTGTCACTTTGATTCTTGCATAAAGGAGACTTTTGTATTTTCTTAGGAATAACACCCAGTCAACAGATTCCATGATCAGAGGTTAGCTCAGTTCATGTCTGGTTCTTATTACGCTCCGTTCAGCTGACTAGTGTTTGAGGAAATGGATTTATTAACTGTTTCCTGGTAGCACATCACAGAAACACTTAGAAAGCAACATTTGTAAGTTACGGTGGACAGACGCCATCGCAAAGGAAAAGGTCCCGATGTCAGAACCAGTTTTATAACATGTGACCTTGTGCTGTAACTCAAATATGTTATGTGATCCATGTGTTCAAATCCATTCAATGGACTCAGACAACTAATAGGTCTTGTACATATATTGTACATAGTATTTATACCTTTATTTTCATCATTCTTGCTACGTTGTCCCCCTGTGCTGCTTTACTTCCTTTTGATGCTATGTTGTTTTGTGAATTTCCTCTATGTCGGATACATTTATTGATTATTTATATATAAGTCAGCAGTATGGTTGAAAAGGCCTGTAACTGGA